GGCGGCCGGCACCCGCGCAGCCGGGGACCCTGCGCCCTGCTCTTCCTCCGGAGCCCAGCCGAGACGTGCGGTCATCGAAGCGGAGAGCTGCAAAGCTTAGAGACAGCCTCACTTGCAGTCTGTTAACAGCAGCGGTTTGGGGGCACAGTGCAATCTCTTAAATACCCCCCAGAGAAAAGATGAAAAAGAGCCCTCCGGAAGGTGAGTGTCCTGTGAACACCACCACCACATTTCACTCCTGTTCAGGTTGCCAGTACTCAGATACTGGTGGTTGCCCATTCAGGCGATGAACGCCCCCATCGCCCGTATTTTGGTGCAAAACCGACTCTGCCTGGGCCCTGCCAGCCCTTCTCTCCTTTGCCCTCCGACGTGCAGCAGTTAATTCACACCGCCTCCGCGCTGGGGCCAACACCTCCAGCGTTTCTGGAGCGCCCTGCAGAGGAAGCAGACGGCCCTCAGCCTCTCCTAGACTCAGACTGAAACCTTGCTAGAACAGCCACCGATTTATACCCGCAGACAGCGTGAGTCTTTTGGGCCCCGTGCCAGCAAATGTCAGCGACTGCAAAACGCCAAGCTCCGGCCTATTTCTCCCAGCTCCTGTCCGTGGCACTGAGAGCTCGACCCCCCCCACGCACCGTTGCAGAAGTGGCCCCGGGGCAGGAATGGTAATCTGATGGGCAAAATCCAGCGACCACAACCTGAGAGCTGGGGTCTTGAGAAGTTTTGCTTTCTCTTATGACAGGGCTCTCTCAGGCTTTGGGCACAGCGAACAATACCACAGCTAAGCTCAGGTGTGAATTCGCAGTATGTCTCACCGTCCATGGCAACCGCCTGCACATGTGCTGTGCTAAAGGCAGGGAGGCAAAAGCTAAGTGAAAGAACGTGTGATTACTGCACCATAGTTACATGCATGGTGGAAACGTTCACCTTGGTTCGTCACTGGGAAGGTTTCCTTGTGCCCTTCCCTGCAGGTAGCGCGCTCTGAAGTCCTGAGATGTTGTTCTCCAGGCAGCTCTGGGGTTGCTGAGGACAGGTATGTTTTCAAGTGTTCTCACAAGGTGCAATTAGTTCATGGAGGAAGCCTTGGAGAGGGTTGCAGAGGTGAGGCTGTGGGAAGCATAAGGACACAGAGTTAGTCCAATGTACACAGCTCTGTGATTTCCTCAGGACATTCAAAACATCTCCTCAGCTCCTGCCGCAGACCAGTTTAAACCCAGAGTCTCTGACCAAGCTGCAGATGACCTTATGAGCCTACTTATTGTGTGTTTTCTCTGAATATGGATATCTGGGCCTAGTTTTGTCCTCACTGACTGCCATCCACTGGACTTGGAGGAACAGCAGTACTAAAACGGGCCCTGCTGAAGTTCCTACCTTGTGATCACTACCACGCTAGCCGAGTTTGTCAAGGCCCAGCTAGAGGAAGATCACACTTGAAGTGGTGGTGTGTCAGGCAGGAAGATGACGGAGGTGGGAGACCAGCCGACACTTCCCAGCCCTCCCCGAGTCTCAGCACACCTTCTGTAGGGAGCGAATGTACGTACGCCTGAGGAGAGGCACTAAGTCACTCCAAAATCTTGCTGTCACCTTTGTCCTGTTCCTTCCCGGTGGTTACGTGTGTCGGGTTAGTTTTCTGTGGCATTCGTGGGCTGAACCGACCCATCGGGGGCTGTGCCCGTGCCAGGGAGGGTTAGAGGCTGCGAAGAAGGAAGGGAGCAGGAGGACTGTGCCCGTCCGGTGGCAGTGCGCTCTTCCATAGGCTCAGCAAGTCACCGGGCAGTAAAGCCATAAGGTTTTAGCACAGCTGAGGACCTTGGCCGAAGGTCCTCCAAGTCCTGCAGTCCTGCCACAGCGCTTCTGAACGTGGCACACACTATTCTCCTTTCCACGTATCGGCTATTCTGTGCATGTACAAACACCCTTCACCCTCCTGGCTCTTGCAAACCACAGGCAAAGAGAGCGGCCCAAAGTGACCTACCTCAGCCCGGCTACGGCATCCCCCAGCTGGCAGCGCTAGTCTCACCCACTTCATGGGTGCTTAAGCTTTGCCCTTTTTAATTTGTGAACTACACAGATCTAAACAAAATAAAAAAATAAGAAATTAAAAACAAGAGGAGAACAGCGTTCATGTTTATGCTTGCGTATAATGACTTCCAGCAAACAGGAAGCCCAGCTTTCCCAGGAACTACATAACTGCAGCATTATACACCACACTCCGCTGACCAGCTTGGCCACATCGCTAGGTGAAGAGGTAATTTGCCATATCTATATATACGAACACCTATATATCAACATCAGCTCTGCAATTGCTTTTCCAGAACGTACAGACACGGAACAGAAGTCGAAGGACCCCCCCCCCCCCCCCCCCCACCCCCACCCCCACCCCTCCCCCCCCCCCCATCTATACCAGCGGTCCCGTCTCCTCCTGCCCCCAGGTTTTGGTGAATGTGCCGTTTTTAACCTCCTCCTGCTGGATGTGCCTCTGTGCTTGTTGCACTGCAGAGGGGGGCCGGCTGGCTCCATGAGGCTCACAGCTGTCCTAAAGGAAAGCACTGCCATGTGCACCACCTCCTCGATGACACTATCCAAGATGGAAAGCATCTTTGCTTTTAGGTGAGGGAAAGACATCAGAAATAATGCACCAAAAAACAAACAAATAAAAAAAGAACAGGCAGCAAGTGGCATCCAAACTGCAATGAATTTTCGGTTGCTGGGAGACGTAATGAGGTTTCTGGCATGCTCAGCAAGAAAGCAACTGCCGAATCAGTGAAGGCAGCAGACAGGACCTTGGTGGCAACATGATGAATTTAGTCATAGTCACAAGGCAAAAACAGCCAGGGGGAAGTTTTCTCAAATACCAAATAGGAAAGTTGCATAATCACTGTCCAGACCCTTCAAGCGTGGCCAGATTTTCCCCTCCAAGACTAGGATTACTTCCCCCTGTACCAGTTTATAGCTGCATCTGTGATAGGCAGCAAGTCCTGCGGTTGCAGCGCCGTGGCCGCGGGGAGGCCGGGGCTAGCGAGCCTCGAGCGGTTACTGCGCTGGGCGCGTGAACGGCTAATCACGACCAACTATGAAGCTACTGCAGTTGGAGGTCACGCACTGGTAACCAAAGGGCAGGCCAAACCCTGCAAACCCTCTTGGTGCCCAGGCTGTGCTAGCAACAGCAGGGCAGTCCTGCCGGGACGCCGCCGCTGCCTCTCCCGAAACGAGACCGCCAACGGCTCGGCGTCACACACTTGTCAAGGACTCTCCTTTCAGACCACCTGAGCTAACGTCAGGGAGGGCTCAAGAGAGTTTGTCAACAAGGCTACAGTAAGATTTTTAAGCTTGTTTTCTTTTTTGATCCATTTCCAAAATGGACAGAGAAAGCAAGGCAAACAAAAGGCGAATGCCACAGTGAGAGCTTACTGCATACAAGCCTGTATTTGCCCAGTGCAAGGACATCCGTGAGAACTGCGTTTCCCAGCCCCGAAGCAGCAGGAAGCAGGCTGGACGCTGGAATTAGCAGGCTGCCTTGGTCCGAGGTTCTTATTCCCAGGCACTGTACGTGCGCGCATGAATCACCAGCCTTCTCCTCGAATCATTAATCACCGCTAAATCAATATGGGCCACATCATAGGTTTTTCATGTATCTGCCATTAGTCTGACCTTGTGTCTATCTCTATAGAGGGTGAAAAATAAAAGCATTTTAGATCAAAGCAATCAGCACTAAATTTACCCTACCAATAGCACCCGATGGAGCTGCCTGATTTACAGCAGCTGAGATCATACCGGAGCTGTTTTGGTTCCTGAGAGCACTGAGAAGTTACAAAGCGCTCATTGTCCCGCAGGAATTCAAACAAGCAGGAGGTTGCTGCTCTGAAAGGATATTCTTTAGGATTTGTTTGTTTCCCTAAAAACATTGTTTTTTTTTTTTTTTCAGAAGCAGGTGTATATATACCACACTCAGAGATGAATAGATGCACCTACTCCCAGAGGCACTAACACACACTCAGATTAATCACATCCAGGGCTGCATTTTAGTTTTCTCCTCCAGCAATGCCTGAAATCTGCTATTGCAGGCACAATAAAACCTGCTGGAGAGCCACCATCGCTAGTAAGAGGAATACGTCCGTGGCTCAGAGAGGCTGAAGTCGTTCATCCGGCACTACTCAACCGCATGGCCTCACAAGCTGCAACAAACGCGAGCCAACCCAGTTCCTGCTCCAGGTGCTTCATGGGCACTTCTCCCTGCATGAGAGAATGGTGTTTAAATGCAATTCTTAAAATAAATGCTCTGCTTACTGTAACCCATGACTCTCCCTAGCAGTCACTTTTAACACCTAAGGCACCTTCCATCACAGGGATTTAAGATCTCAGAGCAAGCCACCAGGTCCAATAGTACAGGGTGCACAAAGCACCTGTGTTCGGCTAGAAAAGAAACTGCAGAAAATAGCAATGTGCATCATGGCTCTCATCTTCTCCCTGCTTGCACTGATATAAAACCAGCCCTGAAGGGGCTATTCCTGATTGACCCATGTACATGTCAAGTCACACATCTCTCTCTAAGCTACCAGTAGTTTAAACAGTTTTAAGAATTAAGCTCATGTTCTTTGAGCACAGCTCTAGCAGGGTCTCGAGCGCTGCTGGGCTTGCCTCTCCCCTTAATTTCCATGGGAGCTGAGAGCATCAGCACTCCCCCAAGTCCCTGGGCTTCCCTTCTCGGGGCTCCCCAATGCACCTGGCTTGGGTCGAGATGTAGCACAGCCCAGGCACCAGAGATGTCCGCTGTCTGGAGGAGTCATTTCCATGGCACTCGGAGAGGTGAGTCCTCCGACCGGGATGCAGAGGCTGGCCTGTGCATGCAGGATGCCCCAAGAGAGCCGGATCACGCCCTGCTTAAGACGGCCAAGCTCTCCTGACCAATGTTATAAGAAGCTGAATCAATGATTTAGCTTCTAAAGTAGCCACGTGCCAGATATGGTTTGAAGCTGGGGTACCTCCTGCATTAGACCGCACCATTAGCTTTTTACTACCTTTTTTTCCCTAGAGACAATCTTGCATTGATGCATATATTTATACATTTTACATCAGGATCATACGCATATGCAGAGCGCCCAGCCTCACTCTGCGTCCGTCTAGCCAGGGACCCCATCTGCAGACCCGTGTTGCTCGGCCGACTGCTGTGCAGTAAATTCAGCCTTCGGACGGTGGCCTTGCTCTCTCTTGAGGCTGTATGAGTAGCTGCTGGACCACAGACTGAAAGCCACCGCTCTATGGACGCCCAAGCTGTCCTAAGCAGACTGCCTATGTTTTTTCTGAACACGTTTATTTATTTCAGGACTAACGTGGAAAGGCACCTCCAGGCAATGCTGCTGACCAGCTACAGTCCCTATTGATCACTCTTGCATCCAGCTTTCTGGGTCAGGCCTGCTCTGCTTCTGTTAGGAGCAGGCAAAGGGGCAGCAAACAGTGAAACCACAAAGTTCAAAAATGCCCCTGGAGGCACAGAGAGAGGTCAAACAGGTCTGGAAAAACTAAAGCCCTTCAAACTGCCCACGAGCTGGAGGCAGGCACGTTGCTCCTCCGCACAGCCCACTAGTGACCGAGCAGCGCCGCCCTCCCCAGCCGGTCACAGCTTCTGCAACAACCTCTGGCTGATGCTGCTGGAGAGCCTGTGGAAATACTTGCCCGAGGAAACAGGATAAATTGCACGTAGGAATAGGATTGAGAATTGGTCTTTTCATCAGTGGGGAGACTTGGTGGGTTTTATTTACATTGCGAAGGAAAACGCACGTAAGAAACATACAACTTGGGCACTAAACAGTATCCTAAGACCTCTCACACTACCTCCAAGCAGAATGCCCTTAGCGAGCTCCCTGCTTGCTAAAGCGAGTGCTCTGGCACTGATTGCTTTACTTTTAATTTAAAAGCACCCGCTGCTTATGCTTCCCCAGCCTCATGTCCGGAGATGGTATCGGTTACAGCTATACGGGGCCTCTTCTGTGAACGGCACGGTCCGGCAAAGGCGCATGG